CCCCGGTGACTGCCCGGCGCCCGCAGGCGAGCTGTCCATGGAGAAGGTGAAGGTGAAGCGGTACGTGTCGGGAAAGCGGCCCGACTACGCGCCCATGGAGTCCTCGGAGGAGGAGGACGAGGAGTTCCAATTCATCAAGAAGGCGAAGGAGCAGGAGGTGGAGCCCGAGGAACAGGAGGAGGAACTGGCCAACGACCCCCGGCTCCGGCGTCTCCAGAACCGCATTGCCGAGGATGTGGAGGAGCGGTAAGTGCTGGGTCAGGCAACAGCTGAGCCCCCTTTGCCTGTCTGGGGCTGGGCAGCTGGGACTCTGCTATGCTACAGGGAGAAACTGTACAGGGCAGGAACCGGGAACATTGTCCAGGCACTGCAGGAGTGTCTGTGACTTCCCATACCCACTCTGCATGGTGCCTTGGACTGCTTTCCAACCAGGAACCAGGCAGGTGCAGCCCATGTCCAGGTGTGTTTGGGTGGATGGTAGCAAAACCAGGCATGAAAATAGAAATTAGTGCTGCGTGCTGAGGCTCAGGATAGTGAGGAAGGATGGTGTCTCATGAAATACACCATGGGTAGGGAGCACTGAGTGCTGTTTGCCTCCCGTGGAGCTGCTGTTGGTTTTGTTTCCACTAACAAGGAGTCTTCTCATTGGGAACTCCACTTCTTCCTTGAAGCATGGACAGGGAAGAGCTGCCAGTGCCCAGCCACTGCAGTCTCCTGGGACAGAACGCATTAGCTCTGGCCATGTTTGGCAGTCTCAGCCTTACCATGGCTTTGCTTGAAGCGAGTTGTGAGGAGTCCTTTTCCTGCAGCCCCCTTATGTTCCAAGTACTGTACTGGCATCTCTTGCAGGCTGGCAAGACACCGCAAAATCGTGGAACCTGAAGTGGTTGGAGAAAGCGATTCAGAAGTGGAGGGGGGAGAAGCTTGGCGCCTGGAACGGGAGGACACCAGTGAAGAGGAAGAGGAAGAGATCGATGATGAGGTGTGTTTGCAGAGCTGGACAATGGGCCTAGCAAAGCTGGAAGGGCCCTTTGCATGGATATGTGGGCTCTCTGATGTATCTGGACAAGTGTCACACCTAGCCATGACTTAACTGGTGGGTCACCATCCTCTGGCATGGGACACTTGGGGAGGCCACACCACACCCAGAGAGGCAGGTACATCTTCTCAAAGCCAACACTCCAGACATGATGTGTGTTTCACAGGAGAGAAAGAAGTGGTAGCAGGGCTGACCTCTGACTCCTCTGTACTTGTCCCCATTAGGAGATTGAGCGTCGGCGCGGGATGATGCGTCAGCGAGCACAGGAGAGGAAAACTGAGGAGATGGAAGTGATGGAATTGGAAGATGAGGGTCGGTCTGGAGAAGAGTCTGAGTCAGAGTCTGAGTATGAGGAGTACACGGACAGTGAAGATGAAATGGAGCCGCGTCTCAAACCAGTCTTTATCCGCAAGTAGGTGACGGAAGTGCGTGGGATGGCCCTGGATCATGGTTGTCAGAAGCTGAGGCCCAAGGAGACCTTACTGCCAGGGTCTCTTCTCACTCTGAGGAAGCCATTCCTCAGACACCTCCTTGGGGTGGGACAGGATGGTCACAGCCTGGCAGGGCTCAGCTAGGGAGCAAGGGGCAATCCCTGCATCCACAGCCCCGTATCAGTTACGTTGCTGTGGGATCAGGCTGTGTGGAGTCTGACCAGAGCCTTTGGGAAAGGGCCATACATACGGTGGCAAAGGGACTTGGTAGTCCCCAGAAAAGGGAGATCTCCAGGACTTGACCTGTCTTGGAGAGGGCAAAAGCAGCTGCAGTGTGAGAGCCAGTGAGAGACTGAGCAGCTGCACTGGCTCATGGGAGGGCTGAAGGCTGTTGTGGCCCTGCTTTCAGGAAGGACCGGATCACAGTTCAGGAGAGAGAAGCAGAAGCCCTGAAGCAGAAGGAGCTGGAGCAGGAGGCAAAGAGGATGGCAGAGGAGAGACGCAAGTACACGCTTAAGGTGCGGAGGGGTGGGCTGGAGGCTGGAGGGGGAAATGACTGCAGCAAGTTTAGCTTGGACCTCACTGCAGATTGTAGAAGAGGAAGCGAAGAAGGAGCTGGAGGAGAACAAGCGCTCACTGGCAGCACTGGATGCACTTGATACAGATGACGAGAACGATGAGGAGGAGTACGAGGCCTGGAAAGTCCGTGAGCTGAAGCGTATCAAACGAGACCGTGAAGAACGAGAAGCGTAAGTATGGTCTGGTAGACAGGAGGCTGAGAGGCCACAGGTAGTTGAATCACCTTTTCCTTAGACTGCCCTTTGGCAGCAGGGTCCCAGCTGGACTGAGTGCCCAGAGCCCCTCCTGCCCACCCTTGGGGTGCTTTGCTCCCCAGCAGTAAATGTGTAAACTCTCAGGTGGTAGCTGGTGGCAGCCTCTCTCCCAGGAGATGCTGTGGGGACACAGGGTCTCAGGGGCTTTTCTCCTACCCAGCATGGAGAAAGAGAAGGCAGAGATCGAGCGTATGCGGAACCTGACAGAGGAGGAGCGCCGGGCTGAGCTCCGGGCCAATGGCAAAGTCATCACCAACAAGGCAGTAAAGGGCAAATACAAATTCCTGCAGAAGTACTACCACCGCGGCGCCTTCTTCATGGTGAGTGTGCTGAGGCCAGGCATGGCTGCGGCTGTGAGACCGCAGGGCTACCTTTTCCCTCTGGGTAGCCTCCCCTCTCCCACAGTGCCCTGGGGCTGGGGGTGCCCTGGGACAAGAGCCAACCCTCAGAGGCAGCATGGGGCTGAAACTGACCCAGATTGACCTCACCAGAGCATGGCAGATTAAGGGTTCCCAGTTGAAATTGAGCTGAAGCTTTAGAGCTGTCCCTGTGCTGCTGTTTGGGCTGACAGACCCAGCCAGAACCAAGTCAGCTCTGCATGGGCCACTGGAGAAGCAGCTTGGGGAACAACGCTCACATCCCCCCACTCTAGCGGGAGTTAATAGGGCTGCAAGTACTGTGGCAGCCCTGGCAGAGCCAAAGTATGACCTTCAGGCAGCTTCCACCACTGCTGCCAAGACTTGCTGGAACCTTTTAGGCTGAGCGGGTTTGTCCTCCTGCAGGATGAGGATGAGGAGGTGTACAAGAGGGACTTCAGTGCTCCGACCCTTGAGGACCACTTCAACAAGACCATCCTGCCCAAAGTCATGCAGGTGGGTGTGCTGGCAGAGGGTGCCCAGCCCGTATGCCAAGGGGTGGGAGTTCTGAGCACAGAGGAGCAGCAGGTCCTGCATCTCCCCTGAACAGTGGCTCACAAATTCTTCTGATCCCCAGGTCAAGAACTTTGGGCGCTCAGGGCGGACGAAGTACACACACTTGGTGGACCAGGACACCACCTCCTTTGACTCTGCCTGGGGCCAGGAGAGTGCACAGAACACCAAGTTCTTTAAGCAGAAGGCAGCAGGAGTGCGGGATGTCTTTGAGAGACCCTCAGCCAAGAAGCGAAAAACAACCTAAGAGCACGGGCAGGAGGGTCTGGTGTGGCTGATGCTGGCAGGAGGGCGCTGCTCTGCCAGCTGCTAGAGCCTGGGCAGGGCCAGGAGGGACATGTTCCAGGAATCCTGTGGTGATGAGCCCTTCCCCTGCCTGTAGCATGCCTACCCTGAAGCGGTGTCCCACTCCCTGTGCTGAGCAGACCTGATGGGTTCCTTGCCCATGCACCGTGGAGGACAGCCTGCACCATAGCCTGTGGTGCTGGCCAGGCTGCTGGCCTGTCTCAGCAATGGCCACCGTGGAGTTTTAGCAGTGTCTGCCACATTGCAGCACCACCCCTGGCTCCAGCACATCTGCTTCTGGAAGAATTACAGGACTTTTCCACCCATCTGGTCTACAACCCCTTGTTTGTACTGTCCCTGGTGTTAGTCTGGGCCCTGTTTTGGGGTGGTCAGCAGTGACTGCATCTCCTTACTGCGGTCCTGCTTGGCTTTTCTACCTATGTGGGGTGGGAGGCTTTGATTAAAGATTTGATTTTCTTACACACTGGTCCCTTTGCTCTCAAAGACGTGGCCATGCTGTTCTGCACCTTCTTGTGAGCCATGGTGATCTGGGGCAGCACAGGAGACACCAGTCTGAGCAGGGCATGAATGATTAGCTGTCACCACTGTCTCAGGCCTGTGCCTGGGCCTGTCCAGCCTGTGCTGCTCTAGGATCAGAAATCAGAAGAGGGCAGAGCAGCATTTACCAGTGCCTTAGGCATTTTGTCCTGCTCCAGTCACAGGGGTGCCCAGCTGGCACTGCCAACAAAATGCTACATGGCTGGGCCCTACTTGTGGGTACCATGCACTCAGGGCCAGGGGCATGTGCCCAGCACTGCGTAGACCACAAAGACAGCCCAGTCCCACCAGTGCCTTTATTGGTATGGCAAAAGCCCCAAGCCTGGCAGCCCGTGGCATCCCAGCTCAGTTGGTGAGGGTGATAAGAGCCTCCACCACGTTGCCCATGTGCTCGCGCAGGCTGCGCTCTGCTGCAGCCCGTGATATTTCCATCTCCGTCATCTGCAGAAAAACAGCCACAGCCCCGTACAGCATCCGCAGGACCCCACGGGCGGGGGGCAGTGAGGGACACCCACCCGCAGGGACACCCGACCGGCCTCAGGGCAGGCATGCACCGGCCTCCTCCGTGGGTGCAATTTCACACCCAAGATTTGGGACAAGTCACAGCCTGCCTGGGCTCCCGCCCCTACTCACAATCAGCTCTAGATCCTCCTTCTTGATGGTCACTTTTGCCAGTTCTTTCTCCCTACGACAAGAGATGGACAAACCTCCGGTGACCAACAGCCGCCGCTGGCCACTGCACCTCGGCCATGAGGCGGGCAGGAGCGGCCGCTCGCAGCCGTGCGGGGCCGGGAGGGGGCCGGGGAAGGGCCGGGATGTCAGACAGGGAAGCAGATGCCTGGGTCGTGTCCTGAGTGGTGACAAGT